ACATTGTTCTCGAGCACCCTTACACGTCGCTTAGATAAGGATCCTTTTCCCCCAATCCTTTGAACTACTATTTTTGCCGTTTTTTTTTTTGTAATTACACTAACTAGAAGTTCTACTGGGCTCATAAGGCTAGTACAATGGTTGTCAATAAAAATTAAATATTCGGACATTTTTCTCTTTCGCTTATGATAGAGGTCGAGCTGTTTTTTATGTGATCGGAAGATTCTCTGGGAGAAACTGGTAAGCAGTGAGAAATGAGCACTCTTTTGTCTTCCCAAAGAGATACCACCGGGGATCTTTGATTGGAGGAAATGTCGAGTACAAAAAGAAAAAAATCGGTTCCCTCGCCACCCGGTCAATACAAAGCGTGCTGTGAGAGTCGAACTTAAAGACCAAGGCCTTGAGATGAGGAGAGTTGGAGGGAGAGGGTTAAATTTCAGGATAGATTTCACTCTTTGGAATCGTGAGAATTGGCAGCTGTTCACTGAGCTCGTTTGCTGAGTTCGTTGGTTTGCAGTGCCATTTCACCTAACAGTCTCTCTAAAAGCACTCTGTTTTGAGCGCAACGCTTTATCGATCGTCGAGTAAATTGAAGGCGACATGTGGAAGTCCGGTTATCTGGGGGTGTAGTCGGCGTTCTGCTTACGTGTCCGTGATAACTGTTCTGATAACATGACAGCATACTCATGACTGTTTCCTCAACAATTCGGAGAAATTAGGCATTATTTATCCTTAGCATCCACTTAGGCTCATAACCTCGATTCGGGTAGAAATTTGCCACCTAGAAATTTTCTATATCTGTGCGCCTGCGCTTGTGACTTCAGTTTGGCACGGAGATGTTTCCGCCCCCTCATAACATTTGCCAATGCCTATACAGCTCGGACCACCAAATTTGCAAAATCTGCTCGATTAAAAGCAGCTTGGTTTCCTAAACTTTTGCAGACTATCGAAACCGTTTTGCATGCTATTATTACTCGTACCTGTGACGCCCCATACATTTAGAGACGTTAGGATTTTATCCCGACTTCAAAAAATAAGCGGCCCGCTTTTCTTCCAAGTTTTATTTGTTCTGTAAGCATTTTTATTTTATTTTCTGACTATTGATTTTCGAATACCAACATTCTTTACAGAATTACCTGCTGCTGGAGCTACATAAACGTTGTCTTATGAGATGCAATATTGGAAGTTCTGTTGTAGAAGGGTATAGTAAGGAATATTTTACTTGAAAAAAAAGCGGAAAAGGTTTGTAGATGCCTAAATATTTCATACTCTCCCACTTCACTTAAGCCAACGAACTCCACTTGATTCTCCCTTAATGGCGCAGTTAGAAGTCTTCGTTGAGTTTTCTATGAGCTGTTCCACTTCTTTCTCAGGATTTTGCACTTCAATTGTACGAGGTAAGCAAACCAGCCCTTTTGCTGGGGCCGTATGCTGAATGTTGGGGAGGGGATGGGGTCCCCGAGGTCGACGGACTACTTGAACTCGGTCGGTACGGTAGGAGAGTGATGACGAAGTGGTGCAGCTAGGTCCAGCAGCTCCGCCAAAAGGGCTGGTTTGCTTACCCCAGGACTAAGCCTTGGAGAGAGGACGGACCTGCGCTCTCTCGCAGGTCCGTCCTCTCTTTAAGGCTAAGCTTAGTCCTGAGGTAAGCATCAAATTGAGGCGGTTTTAAGGACCGAGTTGAAGTAGTCCGTCGACCGTCGGGGACCCCATCCCCTCCCCAACATTCAGCATACGGCCCCAGCAGAAACGCCAAAAGGGCTGGTTTGCTTATTTCCAATTATTGATCGACTTTGTTGATTTATTCTGAAAAATACTTTGTTTCGATAATTGGAGGGGTGGAATTATGGAGGCATTAGAACAAGGCTTATCAATACACATCAGAAGCCGAAGCTGCTCGGAAACCGTGAAAAATGTCACGAAACGACACCTTTTCCGTCTGGAAGTTCCCATTTACTCTTTGCCTGTATTCCTCTGCCATGAAGCACATGAATTGGGATGATCTTCAGAGCTACCGACCATATCAGCAATTTTCAGACGATGGGCATCTGCTCGACATTGATCTATGGCGTTTCGAGGATCTATTTCCTTGTGATACGGTGATTTTCCGTGCTCTGAACTACTTCAAGGTCAGAGCAAGTGTCCCGGCCACTTATGATCCCTTACTATTAATGAGTGCAACGGAGGCTGTGAGAAAAATTGCAAAACGAGAGGTATGAGTCGAGAGATTATTGATCTTTTGAAATTTATTTGATTTCTTTTTGAATTTTTTTTGCGAATCGTCATAAACAGTAACTTTTACTGCTTTCTGATAGCTTTCTTGTGTTACCATTCTAATACTATTCTAATGAACTTTCTGCCTTCCAGATTACTTCGCAACAGCTGGTTGCTGCCTACATGCACCGTATTGAACAGGTATGTTTTGTATGCTGTTGACAATAACTTCCTATTGAAATATTTCTCCTATTATTATCATTATTATTATTTTCTAGGGTCATTTTTCCATTCTAGTCTGCCTACTGTGGAAGACATCGTTTTTTAGATTGGAGTGAATTTTGGGGGAATCTTCTGTACTATTCAATCGGGCGTTATTGTACAATCTTCCAGCCTCACAGGCCTTTCATAACCTAGAAGCAGCAGAAAACTATCTAGCTCATAACTAATGTCAATTAAGGTGAATGAGATCATCAATGCCGTCGTAGTGAAGCTTTTTGTCGAGGCAAGTAAAAAAGCCGAAGAAATCGATAAATCGATTGCGGACATGGATGATCATCAGCTTGAAGAGGTTCGCTAACTATAATAGTTATTGGTTTCCTTTCGAAATTGCTGATGTTTGCTTGGATGGTACTGTAATAGTACCAAAGACTTTCCTACAGTAGAATGTCCTGTTCAGAAGCCCGTAGTACTGCACATAGGAATTCAACCTCGGCTGGCCCTACCTCTGAAATCCCACAAAGAAAGGGCTAGTTATGGTGTATAAAAAGATAAAGGATAAAGCATTTGCCGTTGATCAATCCCTTTTTGGGATGCGGCACGCATTCTACTTCCATTTGTACATTCGTAGTGGCGTTTGAATGCGATGTGGCCTATACAATGACTTGCGGGGGCCAGCCGATGTACAAGTCAGTGTTTTTATCCTCCCAGACAAGTCTGGTACCAATTAACCGACCCCGGAGGGATGGAAGGCTTGGTTGGCCCGGGCGACTCACGACCCAGGATTTGATCCCCGGACCGCTCGCGTGGTAAGCGTGCCACTTGCCACTACACCACTTCCGCCCGTATTATGGTGTATAGGCTTTTATTAGTACTAGTTTTATTAGTATTTGGTGAATGCGGAAATAGTATGTCAACTTGAGAATGGCGCTTGTCACTCAGAATTTGCTAGCAGGGTCAACTACGGCGCAGGTGACCCTAGACGACCTTGACTAATTGGAATGAGGATACAGTAACTATCATCAGTCTCACTTGGGTCAGTTAATCTGGGCTTTAGGCCTGGTTTTGTGGCAGTTACGGATAAACGTGAAGTTACCGATGAACGACCTTTAAGTGGAAACCTCATATGTTTGGCTATTGTTCGCCAGCCTTATAAAAGATAACCCCTCCCATATATTTCCGCTCTTTTTAGGTACCCACCTTATATCCTGACCAGTACTCTTCAAATCAAGGTTTCTTATATTCGTTCAGCTCACCAAACTTCGAGGCCTCTCCTGGGCTTCCCGTTCCAACAAGTCAAGGATCGCTGGAAGCTCGAAGGGCAAGTGATCACATGCGGTATTTATGCCCAAAAAGGAATCAAAAGGACATCCACTGCGGAAGTGATCAAGAGGTGATTCATTAAAATATGGGTCTTACCGTTGACAGAGGCACGGGTCTCTGGCATTGAAGGATTTGGGATTGAAGGGCTCTCGAGCCCGACGATCAGACATTAAATGCCGCTTAAGTCAGCGATGTATAAGTTCCATCCAGTATAAATTTCCAAAACTTCCGACCACGGCAGGATTCGAACCTGCAATCTTCTGCTCCGTAGGCAGACGCGTTATCCATTGCGCCACGCGGCCACACTGTGGATGCCGTAACATGCATACAATTGGGAGTAGAGCGTTTGCTTCTGCGGTTATAAGATTCAACTGATTTTGGAGCAGGGTACAAAGAGGAACATGGTAATGCCTGATTTACAGGGGAACAGTTAGGGAATTCCTTGATGGGGTGGTGGTGTTGGAAGAAGGTTCGCATTTTGCCCCATTTAGAGCTGGATGGGGGTGGGGGGGGAGAAGGACGGAGGTAGCATTTGAAACCTTTGGGGCCGTCGTTGATGGGGAGTAGGTGGCAATGGGGGACAGGTTGGAGAAACGATATTGGAATGCTGACATGCTGAATATTGGTGCCAGGATCATTGAGGGTCACAAACTGCATCTCCCTCCATACCGCATCCTCTCCCCCTCTCTTGCTGCTAAAGGGCAATTTTGTAGTAAATTTGCGGAGTCGCGTTGGAGGTGTTTCAACTAGGTTCAGCTTTAACGACAGCACGACTAGAGGGTCGTAATAGTTGACAGGGGCTTGAATAGGGTAGTATTTCTTATTGAAAATGTCATATAATTGAGGAAGAAATTCAGCATGAATATTAATGTGTTTTGTAGTATGTGTGACAATCATGGAGCGAAATTTTGAAACGCAACAACGAGATTTTCAGTCGAATTAAAAAATAAGAAAAAAATCAATACAAGAATTGACTGCGACCTCGAAGGGAAACCTCCATAACGAGCGACGTAACGAGCTCGTGGCAGGTTGTCGAATGATACGTTATTCGAGGCTTGTGAAGGCTGTTCACCGCATTAATCGTTATAGGAGAAAACGTTAGGTGTTGACAATACCATTCTAGGTTGCGCCATGCGTTCTACTTTCATTCAGAATCAAGTGTCAAATTGAATGCGGTTTGGTCCACATTGGCTTGCGGGGGTCAGCCGTCGTGTTTGTATCCTACCAGAAATAATCAGGTGCCAATTGAGCGAGCTTGGAGGGATGGGAGATTCGGTCGGCCCGGTATACGCACGACCCAGGGTTTGATCCCCGCAATGTTCTCGTGGCAAGCAGCATCATTTACGATACACCACTTTCGTCTCTTGTCAATCGCCAGCTGAAAATGTAAACAGAAACACTAAAACGAAAAGAAGTGATTTGCTCTGCTCCTCCCTCGAGTGAATTTTTGCTTTGTCTCAAATTCACGAAGTCAAAAAGACCAACCCATCAATCACCATCAACCAGGACGGTGTCACGATTTCAAAGCAAATTTGATTTTTAATTTGGCAGCTCTCTGTTACGGCTGCCCTTATTGAAATTTGTTTGTGGGCAGTTTGCGAGAGATGTTTTCCAATGTAGCATGAATGGCCTTGCCTTTGCGGCGCCTAATAGTAAATAAGCCGCTGCATTCAAGCCGTCAATTTTGGATTTAAACCCATGTATCAAATCCAAAGATCAAAAAGTGTTTCCAAAAATTTCCGACCACGGCAGGATTCGAACCTGCAATCTTCTGCTCCGTAGGCAGACGCGTTATCCATTGCGCCACGCGGCCATGACCTGACCCTTGCCTGCAACTGGTAAGAGACTTCAACTACTTATGTTTCTGGCTTGATTTTTAAAGCAATACTAGGTCAGCGTCGTTACTATTAATCAATATAATTTTTCGTATATAGGTGGGAGGGGAGGGGAGGGGATAGACTGAACCTTAAGGAGTCGTTTATGTTGAACATCGAGCCATTTAACAAAATCTACAGTCTAAAACCTCAAAAACCAGTAATCTTTACAACGTGAATAAACACTCCAGTATCCGCGAACTACAGATAGAAGGAGAGGGTCCGGGCTTATTTTGCCCACATATCTCTTATCGGGTGAGATATCCATTCCTCCGGGATTGCTCAGTTGGTATTAGAATCTCTGGGGCAAATGGGCTGAACTGCACATCGGCTACCGCTATGCCACTGTGTGGGCTTAATTGCGCTCAAAAGTCGCTATGGTCGTGAATGGAAGTGAAATCCGTAGGTCCAACCTAACAAGGATTGATAAATGATGGATGCTTTACTCATGACAAAGCTAATTCTTGATATTTCTCTACGTGTTTTTTTCCAGAATGGAAGCGGCAGGTGCGATTCTGATCGCAGTTACGAACGTACCCGAGGCCTGCTACTGGGTTGAGACGTCTAATGGCATCTATGGTCAGACGAAGAATCCTTACGATACTCGGAGGTCCGTCGGTGGAAGCAGTGGCGGCGAAGGGGCCCTTATTAGTGCGGCTGGAAGCGTGGTGAGTACTAGACATAGTCTTCATACCTACCAATATCATGTACATGGCTAGTATAATATTCATCTTAAAAAAATTTATTCAGTTGCTCAAATATGGCTTGCTCCAAAATTTCCATATTAAAGATAAAACTAAAAAAATTGAAATAAAAAAACCTCAAAATTTCATATCAGTTAAGTTTTATTTAATCAATATCAATTTTGCATATGAGTTCCTAAAAGATTATATTCTACAGACAATATTATAACTATGTACATTACATATACAATATTCCTAACTTTTTCCAAGGAGTTCCAGATTTTTTGAGGTGCTTGTTGGAAATTTTGTAGTCTCATATTACTCCTGAACATCCAGTTTTCACTGTTGAATGACTTTCTATAAATGTTTTGAGTTTTATTTTTTGGAATACATATTTTTGTGAATATGATTTACTATTTTCCTTAAAGTTGGTGAGTTGCTGTCAATTACCAATAAATCCTCTCACTCTATCCATTTCTTCAATTTCTGACAGCAGATCCTCAACGTTTTTTTTTCTGGCGACTGTAAAGTGTAACTAACAAATAAATGATTTGATATCGAGTAAAATAATCATAATTTCAGATCGGAATCGGTAGCGACATTGGCGGCAGCATTCGAATTCCGTCATTCATGAACGGTATCTTTGGAATGAAAAATACTCCAGGTATGATTACTGCCAGGGTCAGTGAGAATGTAGCTCTATTGAAATCGCTACCCAGGCCGCTAAATTGTGCTCTTATCGCCCTGAACCCTCAAGGCTCTGGTCTTGAAGGCCGCCGCCTTCCGATGTGGGTGGATTTGCCCCAAGATTTAAGGCGAGGGATTGCGATAACTTTGAATTGGGCTCATAGTGGAAGATTGTGGAAATAATTCAGCTCTTGTTCAGCTGAAGACAACGACTGGGAGTGGGAGGGTTATGAAACTACAAAAAAGCGTACGAGCCGAACATGACATTGACCCGGGAAACATGGATCACCGGGGATTTTTTGAGGTTCACCACAGCGCGGCCTTTTTTTCCTTTTGGTTTGGGCGGGGGCATTTACTTTACTCGCCTGTGAAAGGCCGACTGCTCACACGTCGCAACATGACACAAAGAGCTCAATTTAAACTGTGCTAGTCTTGACAGCTGAGCCTACTGCAGAGAAAATTCTTAGATATTCCCCTCCCCCAGCCTCCCCCCCCCCTGAAGTTGATATCCCCAGCCACTACCACCTCCGATCTCTAGAGGTCTGCTATCCCCTCTTTCTACCATCATAGTTGGAACTATGCCTGAATTGCCCTTTGAAAACAAAGAGGATGGACATGCAAAGGTATAGAGAACAGTCGATAAAGGAAGAAAAAGATTTGATACAAAAATTGTGCCGTGAACATTTTGCAAAAGGTCCTTTATCTTCTGAGCAGACTCTTTATTGTTTTTTTTTTGCTTTTTTTTGCGGGGTATTTATCAATTTCCAATTACCCTATTTTCCGGTGTATAAGCCCCCGCTAGTATCATGTAAAAACACCTCCACTGGTGCAGTGTACTTGAGTACATCTAGAGTCAACCGTAACATGCCCATAGGGGTAATTCGATATGCTGATCACGAAAACGACATTCGTTTTTAGCGGTGGCGGCATCTGGCGCCAGTTGGCGCCACCTTGTCACGACCCTTGTTTTCGCCAAAATCGGTGTAAACTTCAGTATAGGGGTTATTTGGGACCCTGATTACGAATATGACATTCGTTTTTGGCGTTAACGTTGTTTAGTGCACATGTCTCGGTTGGAGAGCGCAGACGAGCAGAAAATAGGCGTCAAACAGCGCCAGCGCCTATAATGAATGTCATATTCGTAATCAGGGTCCCAAATAACCCCTATACTGAAGTTTACACCGATTTTGACGAAAACAAGGGTCGTGACAAGGTGGCGCCAGCGCTGAAAATGAAAGTCATTTTCGTGATCAGGGCATCGACTTACCTCTATAGGCAAATTTGCGGTGGTTTCTAAGGTGTACAAAGTTACACTGCACGAGCGGGGGTGGTTTTACGTGAAATCGGCGCGGGCTTATACACCGGAAATTAGGGTAATTTCTCAAGATTTCCATTCGTAGAAAATTTTTCTCAAAAATTAACAAACCTTCCAGAGAACTTTGTGACCAACCGCATGATGATCCCACTAGCCCGTTCCAAAAATAACGCCAAAGTAAACTTTCAAACTGTACTCAATACTATTTCTCATCAGCGCAGCAATCGATACCCATTAAGAATTCAAACATGTTTCAATCAGGCACTTGGAAATGGACTAATAGAAACGACAAATAAAGGATAAAAAATAAAGCATTTGCCGTTGATCAATCCCTTTTTGGGATGCGGCACGCATTCTACTTCCATTTGTACATTCGTAGTGGCGTTTGAATGCGATGTGGCCTATACAATGACTTGCGGGGCCAGCCGATGTACAAGTCAGTGTTTTTATCCTCCCAGACAGTCTGGTACCAATTAACCGACCCCGGAGGGATGGAAGGCTTGGTTGGCCCGGGCGACTCACGACCCAGGATTTGATCCCGGACCGCTCGCGTGGTAAGCGTGCCACTTGCCACTACACCACTTCCGCCCAAAATAGCTAGATAAAAATATTCTTGCTTTTTGAGCAGTCCAAAGGAAGCGCCGCAGATACATCATCACCACCCAAGTTAATATTCGCTCATACATTGAGCCCCGTTATATACGCAACAAACAATGAGTGGTTTTTCAAGCCACCAATACTACTAGTAGCACATATCTCATATATTGATAGCCTAATCGTTTTCGTTGAAGAAAACTGTCCAAAAAGCACCGCACTCCCACCATTTCCGCTAAAGTAGTCGTGCTTCCCGGCCACGCATCGATCCCCACGCGTGATTTCTCTCTGCGCTCTCCTCGGCGAGAGATAGCGCGCAGAGAACTCGCCACGTATACGTGCCCAGTTTCAGCTCAGCGTGTTTCGCAATCGTCGCGGTTTTAACCCAGTATCTCAAGGTACTACGGGCTTCTGACCTTCCACCTTGCGTGGTCGTGTCAAAACCTCAATTTTTGGATCGCTCTCTCGGGGAATCCGGGAGGGCAGAAAGGTGTGAATGAACTCGTGGTGTGGCATTAAGCTCTTATATTAACTCACGTTTTGGGTGTCTCATCCAGCAAGGATGGCAGAGGCATGTGCGTGCGACGTTCCCCGCCCTACAAAATTCCAGTTTTTGCAAGGGCAGGGATCTCCAGGGGTGCGTGAACCATTTCGGTTAAGCTTTTACACCCACCCCGGAGCTTCTCTCCCCTGAAAAAAATGGATCACTCATGCCAATATGAACTGTCGCATAACATGCCCCCTTACTGGATGAGACTCCAGATTTGTATCATGGTCGGTTTTACTTACCAGTATTGCTCTATTGTTTTTTCATGGTGTTCTGCTAGAGTAAATATGCCTGGCAGGCGATTGCGTGTACGGTTCCAAATTGGCGCCTGTAATGTCAGCGATCCTCTGAACTCGAAACAGGAAGATATGGATATATAGGTTACATAGACCAAGACTACCAGTATTACAGTGACCGAATTCCAAATGACCTCCAGCACGAAAACAGTTTATCAGGTTAACCGCTCTCCACCTCATCCGTATATGCATCAGGGATACTCCTCGTCCATTGCCCCCAGCTTTCGTCTATGCTCTTTGGTGACCTCCAAAAACTAGGGAACTACAGACATTGCTTTCAACCAGGACGTATGGGATGCATCTCAAGCGTTTCACCATGGAAATTCGTCGCTGCGAACGGAGCAGCCTGAGGTCGCCCAACGATTGACTACATGTTGGCTCTGGGACTGAAGCATCGTTCCGGCGGAAAACCCCAGGATAAAGGATAAAAGGATAAAGCATTTGCCGTTGATCAATCCCTTTTTGGGATGCGGCACGCATTCTACTTCCATTTGTACATTCGTAGTGGCGTTTGAATGCGATGTGGCCTATACAATGACTTGCGGGGGCCAGCCGATGTACAAGTCAGTGTTTTTATCCTCCCAGACAAGTCTGGTACCAATTAACCGACCCCGGAGGGATGGAAGGCTTGGTTGGCCCGGGCGACTCACGACCCAGGATTGATCCCGGACCGCTCGCGTGGTGAGCGCGCCACTTGTCACTACACCACTTCCGCCCAAAACAAACGGTAGATTATAAAAAGGAGGAGGCAAGCTTCAGTACATCTACTTATGATCGCGCGTTTTTTTTGATCTTTCGGCTAGAATCGACAAAAATACGAACAAACAATGAACTGTTGCTCCATCAAAGCAATCTATCCGAGTTTGAAATCTTTCTCCACTTAAGCTCTCAATATTTTAATCGATGCCAATCATTTGGGGGGGCGGGGGGTGTGGGGGGGGGCTGTTGCGGATCGGCTTAACTGTGCTAAATGTTCACTTAAAAACAAAGAACTGCTTAGGTGAGAGTCTCCACTGAAGTTGGTCAGCAATCCTTCTGCATTCTCCTACCTCATGCTACCTGCTCACGTCGGTGAGTAGTTGGAACTTCCACATGTGATAGTGACGACAATGTACTTTCTCCTTGAAAATCGGGTTTTGGGCCGATTCAAATTATAATATTTTGGTTTCTTCTTCATATCTGCTCCCTGACCACCTGTACTCTTACTTCCATTGCGCTAACATTCAATCTTAATTTATGCCTTTGAAAAGTGTAAATAATACCTTTCATTAGTTAGATGTGACACGCCACGACTACCACGGCACCCTCAAACGCGCGCTCATCTCTGAACACCGTTTCGTTACGGTTCTGTACAGCGCTTACATTACACTGAATTAATTCAGCCACTAATCACTAGTGAATATTTGCCAGCGAAAATGCTACGAGTAGGGCCGATTTGTCGCTATGTGGAGGACATCCCACTTCTTGTTCAGGTGAACTAGAGTTTCATTTTTTTAACCTGCCATATAATACTTATGAATTTCTTGTATTGAATTACTTCTCTTTTACTTCGTGTTCGGGACATAGTTCGTTTTCTCAAGGACCTTTGAAAGCTGTATGTTTTGACCGGTGCTTTCAGGTGATGGGTGGTGAGAAAGTTCCCGAACTACGACTTTCTGAAACGGTGGACCTTGGCAAAACCCGTGTCTTCTACATGGAAGGCATACAGATTCCGACAATTCAATCGCTGAGCGCTGAAATGAAAGCGGCTTTACTACAGGTGCGGTTTGTTTCACACAATACCATAATACCTAACAAAAAGGAATTAAATACCTCCAGAAGAATTAGGTTTCTTGAATAACAACGGCTATTTTTATTCCGAGTGGACGTTCGTGCATGGCGCACTCCTGAAAGGGATTGATCGAAGCCGAAACTTCTTTGTTAGGTTTCGTGTGGTTTCTGGAACAGTTTGACTAGAGGATCGTTATGAGCCATTCATTTTTTGGAACACGCCAAACATCTCGGTTTCATTCAAAAATCTGAAGGTATTTGAATCAGAATCGAGCCCATACGTGATGAATGGATGGGTGGTGATGAATAGGATGGCTAGAAAGGAACATCATATGTTTCGCCGTTTTTCTCATTATAGATAACTTCGTTAGAAATTACTTGTAGCAGATACCTGAGCGCAGCCGATGCACCAGCACACGCCATCAGTATGGCAAGGACTGCTGCAGAATGAAGTTTTGATGGAAACCTTATGGTCCGGCCGACCATGAGCGGGAAGCACGCCTGACCATCTGGGGAAAATCCATTCTGGGACGGCAAAAGCAGAGCCTTCCCTAATCGGTCACCAGTGGAAATGAGTCACGAGTCCAC